GGACATATGCCAAAGGAATCAAAGTCAGCATACAGCAAAGGCACCTGCACACCCATGTTCATTGCAGCACGGTCCACAATAGCCAAGCTATGGAATCAGCAAAGGTGCCCATCAACGGATGAATGGATAAAGAAAATGTGGCCTATATACACAATGGCGTATTCTTCCACCATGAAAGGAGAATGAAATCATGCCATTTATAAGGGCGTGGATGAAACTGGAGACAATTATGTTAAGCAAAATAAGCCAGTCTAAAAAAATAAATATCATATTTTTTTTCATATGCAAAATCTAGTTTTAAAAAAAGACAAGAAAGCAGAAAGGGGATTATTTGGGAAGAAGAAGGGAATGGGGGAGGGGTAGTACAATGAAGGTAATGGGGCAGTAAATATGATCAAAGTACATCAAGTGCATGAATGAAAGAGTTGTGATGAAACCCATCATTTTATACAATTAATCTAGAATAATTAAAATTTTAAAAACTAACCTTTGGCTCTGTTGTTTTTCTCTATTGTCTGATTCCTATTTCATTGGCTTCTGCTCTCATTTTTATTATTTTCTTTCTTTGGCTTATTTGAGTTTTATTTGTTCTTCTTTCTCTATTTTGTAAGGTGGTAACTTTGATCATTGATTTTACACCTTTTTCCTTGTTTTTCCTAATATAAGCATTTAAAGCTATAAATTGCCCACTAGCTACATCCCACAAATTTTGATGTGTTCTGTTCTCACTATTACCTGGTTTTGAATGCTCTGTAATTTCTTGTGTGTTTTCTTCTCAGACCCATGGGTTATTAAGAAAAGAGCTGTTTAATTTTCAATTATTTGGAGATTTTATAGATAAATTGCTGTTATGGGTTTCTAATTTAATTCATTTTTACCAAAAAAAAAAAGTACACTGCATGACTTCAATCTTTTGAAGTTTATTGAGATTTGTTTTATGACAAAATGCAATAGTTTGGATCCTGAATGTCTCTCAAAAGCTCATGTGTTGAAGGCTTGCACTACTGGGAAACAGTGGGGCCTATAGGAGGAAGTTAGGTCACTGGGGTGTGCCTGGGAAGGGGATGGGACCTCTCTCCCTTCCTGTTTCTCTCTTTTGCTTCCAGGCTCCCATGAGGTGAGCAGCTTGGCTCACCATGCCCTCTCCACCATGAAGTGCCTCACCACAGGCCCAAAAGCAATGGGAAAGCTGATCAACACATCCAATCTCTCTTAGTGAATGTTCCCATGTGTTTTCTGTAATTTGGAGATAGATGCTCTATAAAGGACAATTAAGTCAGGTTTTTGTAGGGTTCCAATTTTCTATATCCTTATTGATTTTTTTGTTTTTTGGTAGTACTGGGGATTGAACTCAGGGCCTCACACATGCTAGGCAAGCATTCTACCACTTGAGCTACACCCCCCAGCCCCTTATCAATTTTTAATGGATTTATGCCATCAATTACCGAGAGAAAAGTGTTCAAAACACTTAAGTACAGTTGGGCATTTGTCTTTCTCTCCTTTTAGTTCCATAGATCTTACTTCATTCATGTTTTTACAGCTCTGTGCACACAGTTGTGACCACAGTGTATCACCTTGGCTGGGTTGAACTACATTTCCTAGAATTCTCCTGTTTCCAGTTAAAAGTACATCACTGGAAAGATGCTTATGAGATGTGGAAGGTAGACAGGAGGCAGGAACTGTTCTGAAGCCCCACTACTTCCTCTACTGCCCTAGGATTGATGTCTTTAAGGTTATTAGAAGTCAAATAGGGTGAAGGGCTAGTTAGGTAGAGTTCATTTTTGCCTTTAAACACTCTGAAGGTGAGCTTAAGCCTCTCTCTCCAGATCTCTAGGACCCAACACCACAAGACTACAAGGTGGTATCTCTTGAAAGCAGGCAAAAGGCCTGATATTGCAATGCTCAGCAAACAGGAAGACAGCACTGTGCAGCATGCAGTGCCCCACACAGCTGCTGAGGCCAGAGTTCTTGAATCCAAAGCACATCTCCACTGCTGTTGGGCTTTCTGACCCAGGCCATCATATAGGTTTCTGGGCCTCGATTTCCTCATCTGGAAAATGGGGTCATATTAGCACCTGCTTTAGGACTATTGTGATGATGAAATAAGTATAGGAAGCTTCACAAAAGTGTTAGCATTGGATCTTCCTGATAATTACAACTCTTTTTTTTCATCAGTGCAAGTAAGTTGTTGAGAGTAAGTAGGCGACAGAGGAAAACTATGACAAAGGTGTCAGAAATGTTCAATCATGACCAGGAATGGTTGTTCACGTGTGTAATCCCAGCTATTTTGGAGGCAGAGATTAGGAAGATCATGGTTCTAGGCCAACCTGGGCAAAAAAAGTTAGTAAGATCCCTGTCTCAACAAACAAGCTCAGCATTGTGGTGTATGTATATGGTCCCATCTACACAGCAGGTGTAAGTAGGAAGATCACAGTCCCAGGCTGGCCTGGGCAAAAAGGAAGGCCCTGTCTCCAAAATAACCAGGGCAAAAACAGCTGGAAGTATGACTCATGTGATAGAGTGCTCCTGCATAGCAAGCTTGAAGCCTTGATCCAAATCCCAGCACTGCCCAAATACATAAATAATTCAAGAGAGCAGTTCTACAGGCCAGAGGTGGCCCAGCAACTCATCGGGAGCCTGCTAGAAGAGATCAGGGAGACTTGTGGGGAAAAAGCTGGAAGGCAGGGATGCTGGATTGAGGTGCTTCCTTCTTGGTTGGTTTCCTAATGGGAATTTCAAGAGAGGCATTTAAGGTCCCTGGAATCTCCTGGGATCCTTGGTCTCTCTTCCCAGGGATCTGACACAGGCCGGTTAGGACTTGTCACCTGAACATGCCCTTCAATTAGGGCCAGGCTCCCAAAGAGGAGCAGCTTTCAAAGGAGTCCCTTCCACCCTCCAGAAACTCTCACAAACTTAGGGCAGGAACCTGTACACATCCCCCAACCCCTACCCGATGTTGAGCAGGGCGAAGGCGTGGTAGTTCACCCACTTGTCCAGAGGGGGCGTTTGCCCCTCACCCTGGGGTCAGAACCCTCAGTCCCAAGCCAATGCCCAGACTTAATGGTTTCCTAGAGAGGGCAGTTCAAAGAGCCAAACCTTGAGCCTCCGTGGGGTGGTGAGGCTGAGGCTTCCCAAGTCTAGAAGCAACTGATGGGTCCCCTCTTCCATCCTCTACCTCCATGCTGGCTGCCAAGGAACCAGAGGGAACAAATGAGTCCTTTTGATTCATGAGATTTCCAGAAGAAGGGAGACAAGGAAAGATGAAGGGAGGGAAGGAGACAGAAAGGGAAGGAAAGAAGGGAGAGAAAGAGGAAGGAAAGAAGAGAGGGAGGAAGGCAGGAAGGCAGGAAGGAAGGAAGAAAAGAAGGAAGGAAGGAAGGTTCTAGAAGCTGTATGAAATGGCCCTAGGGGAAGTTTAATTCCTAGCTCTGTGTTCATTCACTCATGGCCTTGTGCAAAGAGACAGCAAAGATGAGCATTGTTTTGATTTCTAAGGCCCTAGATCATCTGAGAAATGGGGACAAGCTGTGACTCCAAGCTCATAGGGTTAACCTGAGGAATAAGTGAGCCAATAATATCAAATGCCTGGAACAATATCCAGCATGCAGTGAACTTTAAAAAATAAAAACTGCTGACGATTATGGTGAAGTACCTTCCAGCTCAGCGGTATTGCAATTTGGACAAAGGCAGAGCTTAGAGCATCATCTAATTAGAAGGGGGAACTTAGAGACTTGTTTTGGAAATGCACTTGCATTTGTTTGTTCTTTTGTCAATGTTTTCTTCATTTCTACTGTAAAGGGATCCTGGGAATATTTTCTTCTCATTAGGATGAAGTAAACAGATCCATATAATGTGCTTAGAGCTGTGTCTGACACTTAGTGAGCACCCAGTGCATGCTAGCTGCTTATCTGCAGTGGCTGAAGGTTATGGAAATGGGGTAAAGAGTGAGGGCTCGCTTCTGCCCCTGTGATAGCCAAGAACCTCACTAGAAGGTTCTGTTTTGTTCCACAGCTAACCTAAGACTTCCCCGCTACGGTGTAACACAGTACTCAGCTTTACTTATTTCCTAATGAATATTCCATTCTAAATTCCCAGGAGTGATTGTGTGCAGGGGACATAAGCCAAAGCCAGCCAAGCCAAAGAAGCAGACTTAGGACCACACGGTATAATTCTGTAAGTTTTGGACCCTGGGATCATTACCTCCTCCTGTTGACACCGTCAGGTGACCACCCCTCCTACTCTACATCATATGTCTCAAAGGACTACCCCACCAACCTGCTTCAGTGCATGGACACATGGTCCAGAAGTAGCCAATCACTGTGTTTCTGAGCACTGACCCAGGCATGGCCAGTCAGTCACATGAGTGGGCCAGGTGGCCCAGGACTGACTCACCAGATTCACTAGGTAAGGGAAGTTGTCATCGACACAGAGTTGCTGAGCTGGTAGAAAGACAGGCCGTCATTGCTGGGGCCATCTCTGCCACCACACAGGACCTCCTGAGGATGGGCCAAACAAAGCAGAGCGAAGAGAACAGGATTCCTGACAAAGCTAGAGTGCCAGACCTGAGCCAAATAACAAGGGGTTTCCTGCATCTCTTCTTCTGGGCATGCTCACTGGGCTAAAGAATGGACATCCTGACCTCCAGAAGGCTTTTTCAGCCTCAGACCCCAACTGCAAGACCCAGCATCATCCCAGCCACACTGCATGTCCTCAGCTGGTGGTCCGAGAGAGACACAGAGGCTGGAAGGTGACGCAGATCAGCCTGACATGTCCCTTGCTCTCCATCTTGCTTACCAAGTAGAATACAGAGTCTCACACTTGCACCTGCTCACCTGCTGCAGGCCTGACCCTGACCCTGACCCTGAGCCTCTAGTAGGGCCACATGAGATGGACAGAGGGCCAGGTCCTACGGGTGATGGGAGAATTGCCTTTTGTGATGATACAGAGTTGAGCATCCTATGCTGCCTTTGGACCATTGACAAAATGGCAGGGTCATTTACCTCGTGGATTCCAAAGTGGGCATAGGAGTCAAAGTAATAATCTCTTGACGTCATCTCCTCTGGGTTCAGCAACTTGGACATCTTGCCCCGTCCCGGGCAGCTGGGCTGAGTAGATACATGGTGAATACATTGCACAGGCTTGGGTGGGATGACAGGCTGAGGGGGCTGAGATGGCGCACTGCTCACCTGCAGGGGGGACAGAAGGAGACCGGCATGAAAAGAGGCAACAAAGTCCTTCCGTCTGAGAAGTCCCTCCTCCTCCCCCTTCCCAGCCTGGTTCCTGCAACCATTCTGCAGGGCCAGCGACCCCTTCAAGCTTCCTGGTCACCAGATTGATGGCTGTGAGTTGCAGAGAAGTGGCAGGCTACAGACATGCCAAACAGACCTGGATTGAACCCAGTTCCAGCACTTACTGACTGGGAGACTGAGCTGATGCAGGCTTCAGTTTCCATATCTGGTAATTGGGAAAATAATATCTTCCTTTCAAAGGTAAACAGGGAACACTCAACAAAGGGAAAGATGTTCAGGACAGCGTGGTAGCTAAGAGTGTAGGTTCCAGAGTGAGCCTACTGTGTCCTGAATCCCAGCTCTGTGGCTCGCTCCCTCTATAGTTTGTGTGGTGTGTCACCCAGGGATTCATATGCCAGTGTGGCCATGTGAGAGGTAGTGCAATGTCTAAGAGGTGGAGCACACTGAGAGGGGATGGGGTCATTGGGGATGTGCCCTTGGAAAAGATTAACCTAATTCTCCCATGGGATCCTAACTCATTCTCACAATAAAGAGCCAAATCCATGCCAGCACCATATTTTTGGACCTCCAGAATTGTGAGGTAAATAAACCTCTTTCCTTTGCAAATTACCCAGCCCCAGGTATTTCCATTATAGCAACAGAAAGCTGACTATGACAGTAGCCATACAATGGTGACCAACATTATTAACCCCTCCACACCTTAGTTCTCCTTCTCCAGAATGAGAATAAAATGGTCCCTGCCTCCAATATTAGACCAAGCCTGGTCTGATATTCAGGACAAGCCTGAATATTAGACAAGCCAGTACTTTTAAAGTACTGAGGAAAGGGTAGGCACATAGTGTTTATTAAATGAAAACAGTACTAGCTTTAGAAAGACTAAAGTACAATCTTTGGAAAGACCAAGCCCATGGTCTTCTCTCCATCCAAGGCACACCAAACTATCATAGGACTTGGTCCCCCAGATGCGGGTCTCGTCTTATGTTTTAGTACGTCACATCTTATGTTGTCCTGGCCCCTGGTTTCTAACTCATGGTACACCTAAGCATAAACACTGTGACTGTCCAACCTGGTTGGCCTCCTGCCTGAACACCACCCATTCTTACTCTTTCTGAGTTCCCCAGTCCTGACATCCTGTCCAAATTTCCTTCCCATTGCAGCCACCCATCACTGCTCACCCCTTCCCCCCACAGGCTGAGGGGAGGCAGAAAGAGGTGCAGATCAGAGAGTCTGGAGCCCAGAGTGATGCTCAAACTTCAGTACAGAAGTATAGCTGTACCAGAAGACATCCTGGCCCTGGAGATCCGGAGGTACCGGGCATAGAAAATGCCCCAAAGTAGGATTATCCACTAGCTAGTCATCTGGAGCCATCAATCAGAGGTCCAGGATTTTATACTAGCTTTAGTAAAATTAAAAATAGATATTGAGGACAGATAGCACAGTCATTGGGAGTCCAAACTCCCAGGACCACACTGCCTGGCTCTGAGACTCAGCTCTGCTGTTTGTTGGCTATGTGACCTTAAAAAGCCATTTGTCACCACTACCCTTTAGTTTCCTCCTCTATAAAATACAGACCATCATAAAACCTACCTGGAAAAATGGTCAAAATGTTTGGATGAGTTTATAGATCTACGGACTTTATAACAGGACCTGGCACGTATTAAGTGCTTATTTTTACAAGTATTTAATTCTGATCACATAAATCAGATCCCTGTTGAATGTCCATCCATGAACTGAGTTACCTTAGAATCAGGATTGCAGATCTCAGGACAGAATGGATCAAGAAATCTAAGAGATTTCTTCACCCTCTCTCATGCCATGAGCACAGCCCCAGGACTGCCCTGTGTCCAGGGCTAGAGGACAGAGAGCCAGGAGAGTGTGATGGTCCCATTTTCCTGGTGTATCTAGGCTACTGCCTCTGGGAAATAGCAGGCTTCCCAGTTTAGTAACATCAGCTTTCAGGTCAACGAGATGCCGAGCTTGCTGGCAGAGCAGCAAGTGGGGCTGCCTCATTAGAATGCAGCAGGTGTGCCCACCCTCAGCTTGGCATGTTGGTCACGGTCTCTGGGAGGCTAAAAATAGATTGTGTCAATTGCACACTCCCGTGCAGGCTGCAGAGTCACCTCTAAAGCTGAAAAAGGCTCTGTGCACACAGTTGGCCCCAACAGTTGGACTCTATTTAAATATATTAAGGAGAGAAAAACTCCTGCATGGTCAAGGTCATGGAGCCTCTAGCACCCCTTAGCTGTCATTCAACTCTAAGTCCAAGATCCCCTTTTCCAGGGGGCTCCCTGAGTCTCTGTCCCCAATAGCCAACTTATAAAGTGTCTACCATGTGCCAGGCATGGGGTTGGAAGGGGGACATTGACTTCAACAGCCACAGGTCATAGGAACAAAAAGATGACTCTGGGCTGGTCTCTGGTCCTCAAGACCATCGGTCCAACTCATCCTTCTTCAGAGAGGACTTGAACTCTGCCTGTGGATGACAGGTATGCCCTCTCCCAGAGGCTAGGAGTGGGTGGGAATAGCAATGAATGACCTTTGATCCTTGGCATCAGCTACATGGGGGTGTTGCTTTGGATTCCACCAGCTGCAGCAGGGTACTGTGTGAAAGAAAGAGACATCTGGAAAAGGTGTCTCCCAAAGACTCTGCTTTCTAGACCCTCGGATCCTTAGTGGGTCCTCTTAAGCTGGAATAAAGTATATCCTACAAAAGAAGTTCAACCAAGTTGTAAAAGAAGGTTCTGTGTTTGAGTCCTCCTTTAGAAAGATGAATTGGCAAGTGTACAGGAGGAGGCAAGGAGGAGAGAAGAGTACAGGGACAGTGTTGGAGAGTCTGTCTGCCAGAAAAGTACAGAAAGAGAATCTATAGGTGTTGGCAGTTGACGGAACGTGGAGGAAGAGCGAAGTTGGAATCAAAGATAACTTCCATGTTGCAAGCCTGGGTGAGTAGGAAAATAATGGTGACATTCACAGAACTAAGCAAGTCAGCAGTAAGAGCAGGTGGGGGTGGGGAAATGATGAATTTCAATTTGGATATGTGGAGTCTGAAATGCCATTGAGTCATATGAGAAAAGATGGCTAGCCAGCAGATATTAAGACAGTTCCAGTCAATAAATATCATGAAACAAAAATGACAAATGTTGAGGAGTATACCCAACATACATGGCGGACAAAGGTTAACAACTGATGTGTGGACAGAGAGTTCTTACAAACCGATAAGAAAGAGATGAACACCTCCAATTTAATGTGTGGGCAAAGAATCTTCTAGTCTATTCACCTGGAAATAAATACTGATGGAGAATTAACATATACCAAAAACATCTAACTTCACTAGAGATTAGATAAATTCAAAATAGAACAAAAACCTATCTCCTCTCCCCTTTTCCATGAGGCTCCCTGACTCTCTTCCCAGTAACCAACTTATGAAGTGTCTACCATGTGCCAGGTATTGCATGAAGCAAAGTGCTGAATGGATGTGAGGGAAGCACCAACTTCAACAGCCATAGGTCAGGTCATGGGGACAAAGAGGTGACTAGGAACTCTGCCTGTAGGCTGACAGATGTGCTCTTTCCAGGGGCTGGGAGTGGATGGGAATAGCAATGACCTTGGATCCTTGGGCATCCAGCTGGATGGGGTATTGCTCTGAATTCTGAACACCTGCTTAAGAATGGCACTGTACAGGTCCTGTGAGAGCAACAAGAGATGCATAGGAACTTATGGGCTCCATATAGACAAATAGGAACTTGTATAGGAATCCAGACTTCTAGCTATGAAGGTGGTTCAACTGCAAATGAAGGATCTTGGGAGGGGCTCTGAAAACTTGGCCTTTGATTCAGCTGCCTCCCCACCTGTGGCCAGGAGAGACTAGAGGAACATAGACCATGGATCTGGGGGATGTCAGTGGTCTCCTTTGTAGAGTCAAAAGACCCAACCCCTCCCCTGGTCATGCTGAGCAACCAGAGGCACAGAGTGAAGGAAGTCTCCAATGCTTGTATGACACATGGGCAGAAAGTCAGCCAAAGGATTGGGGCTCACACTGGGAAATGGAGTCCTCCTGATCCCCAACCCCCACAGGTGTGGCCATCACAACTCCAGTGTGGCCACATGCCCAAATACCTTCCCCCTGAGCATCTCACCCCAACCCAGTCCCACGACATTGAGTCCAGGCTGCCCTGGAGTCCCGGTCTGCCTGCTTTGCACAGTTGTCCAGTTTGGGGAACAATTTCTGCTTGGTGGCCTCCCCACTGGCTCTGCCTAAGACCCAGGATGCAGCATATGCAAGGGCTCCTATCCTGCCCGTTCCTACCTCCTCCCAAGGGTGCAGTCGCAGGGGGCGGCTATTGCTTGAGGGCTCCCCCTGCCATCTGGGGTCCTGTCTGCTGAGCATCAACATTCTGCTGGGCTTTGTGACTTGGTCCTCTCCTCGTGATGCCAGCTGCAGACCAGGATTCTGCAGACATGTGTCTGGCCTCCTGGCTGGCCTTTCCCTGGATCTTCCGCCCAGCTCTTCTCCCAGTCTACCCATTCCACTGGGGGGCCCAGGCCCAGGTGTGGGGAACCTAAGACAAGTTGACAGACATAGTAGCATCAAAGTGTGAGGCCAAGAGGAAGATGGCACCCCAAGGAGGGCTCCAGCTGATCCTTGAAGGGTGGGTAGGATTTCCGCAGGTGGGGGTGGAGACTCAGGGAGAGCATTTCAAACTCACCCCACCTCCACCTGGAAAGGAGGGTAGATGACAGGTGGATGATGCCTACAGTGTTGACAGAGGGCCCACTCTGCTGAGCACTTTGCAAACATCGCTTCATGAAATCTTCATAATAACTAGACGAGGTGCTGAAATTTACAGACGAGAAAACTAAAGCTCACAAACACTGGAGTCATTTGCCAGAGCTAGCAAGTCACAGAGCCAGGAAGTAAACTAGCATCTCTGAGACGC